AGAGGGGCGGGGTATTAAATAAAAATTATTATTATTATATTATTATTGGTTTTGTTCCCCTGTAATGTAATAAATACATTAAAACACTGGGTAAAATAATCTGTAATTTTGGGGTCCAGTGTTACCAGTAGGCTGATGATACTGAACTCTACCTCCTTTCTATCTAATTCCATGGAAGCTGGTTTGGTATTAACCAGGGTCTGCTGCCAGTAATGGACTAGATAAGGATAACTCCAGGATAGTCAAAATGCAGGTCATCTCAGGAAATAGGGATTCACTCTGAGCTGGACAGAGTTATACTCCCTGTAAAACTTCAGGTCCACAGCAGACTCAGATCTGAGCCTAGAAGTGTAGATTTTGGCAACAACCAATAGTATATTGCATAGTTAGAACTAGTGCACCAACTGTGTTTATTCTTGGAAGTGTCAGGCTTGGTTACAATGACACGTGTTTGATTATATCATGTCTAGATTACTGTAACCCACAGATTACTGTGGGGCTGCATTTGGAAACAGTTCAGTTCAGAAATTTCAGCAGGTCCAAAATGCTGTGCCCAGATTGCTAACTGGAGTTGGTCACAAAGAAGGTATGTAACTTCTTGGTTGCATTGACAATTGATCTATTTGGGAGCAGAATTCCAAGTGGTGGTTATCACCTATAAACTCCTAAGATTCTTCTTCCATAAGGGTGGACAACTGGTTGAGACCACTTTAAAAATATTTGTGGGTAAGGCTGTTGCCCAAATGTACTATTGATCTGAGATGGTACTGGTAATATTGCTATTCAAGAAGTACACCAGAACGGATTCTTAAAGAAACTACTAGCTCCCTACCACGTACATCAGCAACTTTGTTGAAAGCAGACTGATCTGCCCTCTATTGAATCTAGGGTAAATAAAATAATGCTGTGATGTTGATGCAGGCTGAATGAAATGGTAGATTCAAGACTTTCTCTAAAATGTTGTTTTGAGCAACTGAGACTGGGAAGCAATGGTGAAAGGCCTGCCAATACAGAATTAAATTATATTCAATCTCTATGGAGCAGACAGCCTGTTTTTCAGCCCATCATGAACCAACAAACTGAGAAATTTCATGTGTCAGAGAGAGATTATAAATAATAACTTCTCTTCTTGATGGTTTGCTGCCATTAAAAATGATAATCAGACTCCAAGGTATTTATAAGCTATCACATTTTCACTTCTGAGGAAGGCCTTTATAGAATTAAGATCCCAACAGATGCCATCTGCCTTTGTGGATGATAGATACCACAACATTCCTGTAACCAAGAGACGTTATCTTTGTGGAAATGCTTGTGTGGAGGATCTAGTGTAATATTTTATTTTGGGGTCCACTGTATGCTCATTCCAGAGAGCATTTAATGTCTCATTTTATGTCTGGGTGTAGTGGGTGAGTAGTACACAATATAGCAATCCACCTACTTTCAGATGAGTACAGATATGTAATCAAGTAGCATTAAATGCAACTACAGCTAGGAAAATCAGGACACAAACCTTTGATGAGATGGTAATAGACTGTAAGGGAAACTCAGAGATGTGTATTATGGTTCTGGCAGTGGATATGTCATTTCTTGAAATTGTATTATTATTAAGTAATAGTATTATTATTCAATTTAAGGGGTGTTTTAGATGCTGATTGTTAGAATGTGTATTTATCTCTCCTTTTTGTACTTTGTACTTTCCGTAGCAGACATACCATTGTACTCTGTCATTTTCGCAATGGCCAATGGCTAAACACAATAAAAATACTTTACAAGACTCCTGGGTTAGTGGGTCTTGATTATCTGACTATATATTAGTCTTATATTAACCTACCTGAATTTTAGGTTCATTGGAGGAGGGCTTTCTCTCAGTCCTACCACATTTGGTAGGGGACATTTGGAAAGGACATAGAGGAGAGCCTCTGCATGGGTGCTCCCAGGCATGGGAGGCTCAGGTGGCCCCCACTCTGTTCTCTTTCCACTGATAGGCATATCTATGTATCTATATCTATTAAACAGGAATTTGGTTTTAACTGATTATGGCAGAATGATTTTTCAATGGGTCATGTTGTATTTTTATCTTTCTACTATGTTTTAGATGTGTTTTAAATTGTTTTAAGTTCATGTTTTTAATAGGATTACTTATTTAATTTTTTAAATTATTGAGTTTTTAGTTGTATTGTTTTTTAGCCAAGGTTGCAAGCTTCCTTTGATCTTCTGCTTGAAGAAAGCCAGTTCATTTATAAAAGTAAATAGATGAAAATAAAAGTATATAAGAACTCCACTGCCTATACCTGTATGAACCTGCTGATGCTTTAGTGATCATACCTACATTCTGGAATTTTCTTGCAAGGGATCTACAACTGATTTTAAAATGCTTGTTCTCTCTAAAATAACTTTTTAGTATTTTAATAAAGCTTTGAAAAGCTTGCTCTCTCTAAAATAACTTTCTGGTATTTACTATTCTTAGATATTTTGAAATGGTATGTTATTTTAACTGGCTTATTTTAAAGATTAACTTTAAGGTGATTTTATAGTATGTTGACCCAGGGTATCCCCAGCCTTCATCTCTCATTTTACTTCTCCATCCTTTGTTTTGAAATGTCTTTTGTTTTCTTTCTCTTTCTTTTCTCTGTTCTGGAGTCACAACAAACTACAGTTCCCAGAATTTCATAGCATTGAGTCATAGCAATTAAAGTGGTGTCAATCCAGATTATTTCTGCAGTGTGGATGCAGCCCAAGAGGATTTTAAAATGTAATACTAGTGACACAAATGTGTGTGCCATGTTCCAATGAGGTCACAGCATGTGGGGAGGTGAGAGGAAGCTCATCCCACCTTCAGGCAGAGAGAGAAGAATTACATCTCCCCTCACAACATGCTGCAGTCTCATTGAAAATCTACCAACCTATGCTTAGTGTCACATTTCCAAAATCCTTTATGTAGCAGTATGACATACAATTAACATGTTGGGTGGCATCATGTTAGTGATATACATACATCTAAGTGTGACAGGCCTGCTTACTTACATGTATGTCTCATTTCAGATGGGGGGCAGGGGGCTATTCTCCAGCACTTTGCACTTCATTGAAAACCTGCCCACAGCAGCTGTCAAGTCCTGAGAGAGGCTGTTGCTTCTGCTAACCACTAGGAAGGGAAGCAATTCAGATGATGAAGAAGCTGCTGTTTTGGGTTCTCAGAAGAAGGTAAAGGAAGGTGGATGTACTCTTGTTTTTCCCCCTCCAAGTTGAGACCAATAGCTTCTTTATAACCTAAATTACTGCCTCCCTCCCTACTTTTCCCCACAGTAAGCAGCAGCCACATTGAAAGCTGCTTAAGCAGTGGGGAGGACATCAACATCATCTGGAGGGACAAAAATTGTCTGACCCTGCAGTAAAGAGAGAATTCCAGCTATCAGAGAACCATTTCCTGAGCCACTGATAAACCCTCACAGCTATAGTTTTTTGTGGGTTT